CAGTCCCCATCCACCCCTATCCTGGGGCAACCAAAACTCTCAGCCCTCAACCACCCTTATCTTGGGGTAGCCAAATGCTTCCTTGTGAATAACTCCAAGCAGAGGAAAAAAGAAAGGCAGGGCAGAGGGCATGCATGTTATTAGCAGGACATAGCTTGGCATGCAGCGTCATCTTCCCCCCTACCGACTGAAGAACCCTGCACCCAGCGAAGCTCCCCTCTTTCCCTGCATACTTCCGCTATGGGGTCAACAACAGTTGCACCACAGCTTAGTAAATGAGGAGAATCTCTGGTAACATCCATCATCCAATTATGTTTAAGCAAAAATGTTGTTTTGTTTATTTTCCTTGCATGTGATTGGGTATTCCTTGTAAGGTGAAGCCTTACCTCATTTGCTAAGTTCTAGAGCAACTGCACTTACAGAGTACATCTGCCCTTGCAATGTGCACAGTTCAGTAGCCTTTAGCAAACCAACCCCAATGTGTTAGGCTGACCATGACGCCTATATGAGCTTGTTGGACATTCCATCCAAAACCATGGGCATTATTATGAATTTGCCAACCCCTTCTTGCAACAATAACATCCTTTACTCTTGTGGGAGGGCTTTCCATCAGATTTTCGAATATGCCTGTGGGAATTTATGCCCATTCATCCAAAAGAGCATTTGTAAGGTCAGGTGGTGATGTTTTGAATAGGAAAACCTGGCTCACAACCGCCATTCCACTTTATCCCAAAGGGGTTCAATAGGACTGAGGTCAGGACACTCACATTTCTCGACAGGAAACGTATCAATCATCATAGAGCTGGCTGTGTGCACAGGGGCACAGATATGGAACAGAAAAGGGCCTTCCCCAGTCACAAACACACAATTGTCTATGGGCCCATCTACATTTGTTTAGGTGCTTTATGACACACATTAACCTATATTTCATGAAGGCAGCCTTTGAAAAAAATGGGCTGCAAGTCCTAAAATTTCCTGAAAAGTGGATGTGTCAAAACATTTGTTGGGGCTATAAATAGGCCCTTGAATTGATTCTAAACTCTTAAGGTTTTTTTTACCTTAATGCGCTCTCTGCATTAGGTAAAAACCCTTCTGTGTCCAGGATATCGCCCCCCCCTTACCTGAGCCCGATCTCGATCCAGCACTGTGCAAGAGAGTCATTTTCTCCCTTATCACAGGGCAGACTGATAGCAGTGGGAGCTATTGGCTGCTACTGGCAATCAAATCCATTGACAAGGGATTTGGCGGAGTGGCAAAGCCCCACTGTCTGTGTCTATGGATGCAGGCAGCAAGGCTCAGGAGTGAGCCCACATGAGTACCCCCCCCAGTAAGAAGCTTGCTGGGGGTACTTAGAAGGCAGTAGGAGCTAAGAGCGCCAGGTCCTCCACAAACCTTTGGCCATATAGTATAGAAAGTAGAGATATTTTTCTTCATTCCCTATTTCATCGAACACTCAGAAAGTGGAGAAAGATTTCCGAAACAGAAAACAATATAAAATCGACACCATTGTTTAAAAAAGAAATAACTGATTCTATGTTCAGGGCTGAGAAGAATGGACACGGCCGGTCAGTGTCTTATGGTCTGTAACCCCTCCAAAAAAACAATCAGATTTAACCTTTCATTTTTGGATGAAGGTCTTGATGTTGTGCACAGCAAAAAAAAAAACAGCTCCTCTGTCATCTGTTTGTGTGGCAGCAAATCCGCTTTATCTTCACCATCGTAAAATTGCAAAATTGTAAGTGATACATTTAGATTAGCGGCTGTACTTCAAGTTAATGTTTTACCGCAGAGTTTAATGGAAAAAACCCAAGAGAAACTGCCTGATTCACTGAAAGGGTGGCAATTTTGTGTGCATAATCTATAATTTGCTGTAAATTAGATTTGCTTTCCCACTGTGAGATTGTTTTAAAGCAGCAGTAACCCTAAAATGTATGTAAGACCAACAATGAGCTGCGTTTGCTACTATTGCTTGCTTCCTTTTGGTCTGCTAAATATAACATTGAAAACGTATTATTATATCTGTTCCATAAGTGCAAAAAAAATAACTGTTGATCCCGCCAGAACTTTTGTGAGCTGTGCTTTCTGCCTGTGCCGCACAGTTATCAGTTAGGACCAGTTCACACTAACTGCTTGGAAATGCGCCATATTTTATTGTGTAGGAAGTGCCGGTTCTGGACAGTAGTGGACAGTAGTTCAGCTGAAGTTGCGCGATTTCAAAGCCCTCGGTCAATTTCATGTGCGGCTTGCTGATATCTGTGCAACTTCATGCGCAGATGTCAAAGCAAGTTGCACATGAACTTATCAAAAACTATTGCAGGAACCTTTTTCAAAATTGTCACACCTTTTTGAACGGTTCCTTAGGCACAAATAAGGTGCGACTTGTCATGTGATTTTGAACTGTCAAATCACATGACAAATTGCATTGGTGTGAATGGGGGCTTAAAGCACAAAACAGTGTTTCATTTTTTTTAAACTTTACTGAAATGTCATAGTGTGACATACGATTCATTGCTCAGCTGTGGTCAGGGGCGGACTGACCATTTGGAAACTCAGGCACTGCCCGAGGGCCTGGGGTCAGTAGGGGGCCCCATGAGATGCCCCTGGTACCCTTTTCATAGGCTTTTTTGAGTTTGGGCAAGGACACAGTGGGCCCATGATCCCCTATTGCCCGGGGGCCCCATGAGTTGTCAGTCCGCCCCTGGCTGTGGTGCTTAGAAACACACATAGAAACTGCTCTGTGGGTAAGCTGCAGGGTAGAAAAAATGCAGACATGTTGCAAATTTCCACACTGCAGCTTACCCGAAGGTGGCATTTCAGTGTGAACAAAGCACATGTGCCTTTGCATATATCAGCCATTTTCCAGTTCAGAAAAATGTAAATATCCACACAGTTGTGAACAAGCCCTTGGGACTCTTCCTAGTTCACTTTTGTTGACTGGAGAACACCACCCTCCATGTCAGTTGCGTCCCGAGGCAGGTGCGGGGAGTGCGGCCCGCACCGGGTGACACTGACCGCATGGGGCGACACCAGACCCACTACACAAAAAGGTAAGTTGTAAAGCAAGCCAACGATCCCCACAGGATGGATCCGATCCATCCTGCGGGGATTGTCGGCTTTCTTTACAACTTACCTTTTTGTGGAGCGGGTCTGGTGTCACCCCGTATAGGTTGCATGCCAACTATCCCTGCAGGATGGATGGGATCTGCGGATTGGGAGCATAATGGATCGGAGTCCGATCCATTATGCTCAATCCGCAGATCCGAACCATCCTGCGGGGATTGTCGGCATGCAACCTATACGGGGTGACACCAGACCAGCTCCACGAAAAGGTAAGTTGTAAAGAAAGCTGAAGATCCCCGCAGGATGGATCGGATCTGCGGATTGAGCATAATGGATCGGAGTCCGATCCATTATGCTCAATCTGCAGATCCAATCCATTCTGCGGGGATCGTCGGAGGGGGTGTCACCAAGTGTTACCGCACCGGGTGACACCAACCCTAGGGACGCCTCTGCTCCATGTCATGGTGATGAAGTGGTGTTCTGTAGTCCTAATAAACCTTTTGTCCTAGGGTGACAACTTTGCTGCTTTATAGTTAAGATGTAATGAGTTGCGTTGTCACCGTAGGTCAGGTCAGGACGTGTGTTAGGACTCTTTCAGACTGCTGAATGGATTGGTTAAGAACAGGCAGCCTAGCCATGGATTTACTGACCACTCTTCTTCTCGGCTGCCCACTGTAATTCTAATCTAAGATCACAGCCTGACAGAGCTGTACACATGTCGCAAAGCAAGGGGCTAGATTCTCTCATAAGTGTTGGTTTCCCAGTGAATTTCAGCAGGGATTTTCCCTTAGCAGTGCAGATAGCAGGAAAGGTAAGTATTCATTTTCTTCCTTTGCAGGTATACCTTTTACATTTTTTCTAAATAAGAAGAACACTTTATTTGAATATGTGGCCCTAAAAACACTAGAGAGCAACAAACGCATAGAAGAAGGTGAACTAGAAGGTCCCAGTACATACTTTATTCTATTTATTCTATTCTATACTTTAGTGGTGGTCATCCAGGGCAAACCCAAAAGGCCACCAAGCTCTATATGTGAATGCAGACCTTGTGGAAGCTGGTCCATGGGCACCCCTCTCATGGCAATCTTTGACCTTGATAGGTTAAAGATGGGGGGGGGGTCTGTGCTTGGTAGGTACAGGGGCACTCTGAAGGGCCAGCCAGTAAAATGGGAGTTATGTATTATCTCCTTATGGTACTTATTTCACTACTCAATACTTAGCTTTTTGTGCTCTAAACTGTATTGCTGTGTGGGAAACTGAAGATACAAGGTAAATTGTGCTTATACTCTGTTATGGGGTGATGGCTGTTGTTCTCTTGAATTGTCACTTGCACCCCTAGTGAAGACTACAAGTGACTGTGTCAGCACACTTTTCACAGCCATGGTCCATCAGTGCCTCTATCAGGAAACTGAATCAGTGCAATAATATGCAGCCAACACCGAAGCAACTGCATGTAGACAGGAAGAGACTGGAAGAGGCTGCAGGAGATCAGCAACACTGAGATGCAAAAAAGGATGAAAAATGGTAAAACGGGATTTTATTAAACAAATAATAACAAACACGTGGTAATTTATGTGGTACACAGATTAACATTTACTTTAAACACAGTGCAGAATATTTCAGTTGGACATGTCCCAGTTCAGATGCTTTGATTTTCACTTGGCAAAACAGCCAAACACCCATGCATACAGTACACAGTCAAGTTATAAGCACTTCTTGCTGGCCACAACGTGTGTTTGAAAGGTATGTACAAGCATAACGGAACAAAATAGATATAACATGCTATGAAGTGGGTTTTCTCTCCTACAGTGTCAGAAAGGTGGTGCTACCCTCTAAGCAAGAAGACCAGCCTTGGTTTGGTGGAACATATACCAAACCTAGGATGACTCAGTACTGCATTGGACGTTTAAAGGGTGTCTCCTATATATGTTTTAGTGATGTCAGCAAGTGTTCATGAAGCTTCTCATTGGAAAATGATTTGCTGTTGTGATCTTCTGGCATTTGGAAATAGAGTCGATCATCAAAAAGTAATCCTTTGAAGGATGGACAAAGCAAGGTAGCCTCAGAAGGAGTCCAGTAATGTAACCCCCCAACAAGGACATGCCAAATGTTACCCCAAAGGCTGCAGCTTGTCCGAGGGCTTGATCTGTTGCCGTCCATGTGTTTTCCAAGAACTGATTTCCAAGAACTTCCAAAACTGGTGGTTGGTTCCTCCATATTGCTGTCATTTAGAATCTCATGTAGGCTAGAGCCATACGTATCAATTGATCCTGATAAAATAATCACAATGCTGCTCAAGGTGCCGACAATGCCTGGTAAGCCATGAAGGTTGTGAATTCCACACTGGTCTTGGAGCTTGATCTTTCTGGCCAAGAAAGAACTGAAGTACTGGTATCCAAGTATGCAGAACATGGCTGCAATGCAACCTACAGCAAATGCCCCTCCAGGGCTAATCAGATCTGCAGTGATTCCAATGGCCACCCCACCTGCCAAGGAGGCATTTTGAAGGTGCACTAGGCTAATCCTTCCCTTTCCGTCTATCAGGCTGGACAGAGCAAAGGTGGTGATTGTCCCAGAACTCAGGGCAAAGAACGTATTGACAATGGCTCGATACTGAGCATCTTCAGTTTTGGCTAAGACAGAATTGAAGCTTGGCCAGAAAATCCAAAGAAAAATAGTACCAAGAAAAGAAAGTAAATCAGATTTTGCAGTGGTGGCCTCTTTTGGGTGAGTATTTCGTAGTTCAGGTTGGTAAAGAATTTGGGCCACACCTAAGCCAAAGTAGCACGAGAAGATGTGAATGGCAATTGTCCCTCCAATATCAATAACGTGAAAATATTTGTTTACAAGCCAGTCATTGACCACAAAAAGTGGAATCTCCATGGCAGAGAACAGCAGCAACTGGACATGGCTGGCCCTTCCCATAATGGCTCCAACTGATATAAGCGTTGTTACTGCAGCGAACTCAGCATCAAGGACATTTTCCAACCTCAAGTGTATCTTCCCTTCTTTGTAGTGATAGAAGAAGCCTTGGACGACCAAAGACCACTGAATGGCAAAGTTTCCAATCAAAAAGTTGAAGGCAATTCCACCGAAGCTGTAGAGTTTTAAAAATGACAGCATGAGGCCCAGTCCAACGAACAGCATGAGATGAACATCTTTAAACATGGGGAAGATGGCAGTGAAGTGCTCTTCTTTTGGTTTTGTTCCATTGTGGAAAATAGGTCTATTTGAGTGGTCTTCAAAAGTCATAAACAGGATGAATACTGCCACAAAGGCCCCTTGAAGAAAGGCCAGCAGGACGGGCAACTGGCATCGCAGACCCGGGGAGAAAACAATTGACATTATGCATATAGATGGAACCCGAAGAGCACCTTTCTCCCCAGCAACTTGCAGAACATATGATTCTTGTGTTTAGCAACAGCCAAAAGTTGCCTTTTGCCAATTTGCAGAGTCCTGTATCCAATAAAGAGAGTGCTCTGTCGTGTGCGGTGAACTTTGTACTACAGTAATATACATTGTTTAAAGATTACCTTTTATTGGTACGTAACAGACTGACTTACATGCAGCCCTTGTTATTTAACGCAAGGCTGAGCATGGCACCTGCATCCACCTCGAAGTCAGGCATGGTCATGTGACCACCAGTGCAACATGTTGGAACTTGTAGTTCCTTAATAGCTGATGGAAAAAAAAAAAAAAACAGTCCAGACTTTTCTGGGATTAGTCTTCATACTTAGATGTTTTTTTTGGATGTCGTGCTGAGTGTTACAGACTTGAAACATATCTAAATACAAACATTTTTTTAATGTTTTGGATGGAGTGGTGAGGGGTTAGGGGGACCTATAATGTTTGTTCCATAAAGTTGTACATCCCTGGTGCAGCCCGGGGCCACATGCAGCCCCTTTGGGACTACTTGTGCAGCCCTTGAGGCCCTTGCAAGCTCTTATTTCTGTTTCCCTATTGCCCTATTATAGTACATTTCTAACAACTTCATGTAATATGTCTCCAGTCTATGACTGTCTCCTGAAGCATGTCCCCAGTTTCCAACTTCTTTTGCATGTCTCTGACCATCTCTTAATTAACGTTCTTAGTGTCTGACCATCCCTTATATGATCCCCACAGTCTCTGACTATTTCTTTTATTTTGTCAACAGTCTTTTACCATCTCCTGTATCAGGTCAGCAGTCTCTGACTATCTCTTGTATCATGTCAACAGTTGCTGATCATCTCATGTACCATGTCTGTAGTCTCTCACCATTTCTTGTATCATGCCCCCAGTCTTTGACGATCTCTTGTATCATGCCTGCAGTCTCTGACCATTTCTTGTATCATGCCCCCAGTCTCTGACCATCTCCTGTATCATGCCTGCAGTCTCTGACCATTTCTTGTATCATGTCCCCAGTCTCTGAGAATCTCTTGTATCATGCCTGCAGTCTCTGACCATTTCTTGTATCATGCCCCCAGTCTCTGACCATCTCCTTTATCATGCCTGCATTCTCTGATCATTTCTTGTATCATGTCCCCAGTCTCTGAGAATCTCTTGTATCATGCCTGCAGTCTCTGACCATTTCTTTTATCATGCCCCCAGTCTCTGACCATCTCCTGTATCATTCCCCCAGTCTCTGACAATCTCTTGTATCATGCCTGCAGTCTCTGACCATTTCTTCTATCATGCCCCCAGTCTCTGACGATCTCTAGTATCATTATTGTAATTATCATACAGGATTTATATAGCGCCAACAGTTTGCTCAGCGCTTTACAATATAACGGGAGACAATACAGCAACAAATATAGTTCAATACAAGAGGGTTAGGAGGACCCTGCTCCTTGGAGCTTACAATCTAAGAGGGATGCCTGCAGTCTCTGACCATTTCTTGTATGATGCCCCCAGTCTCTAACCAACTCTTGTATCGTGTCAACTGTCATTGACCATCTCTCGTACCATGGCTACAGTCTCTGACCATCTCTCGTACCTCAGTCTCTGACCATTTCCTGTATCATGTCAACAGTCTCTCACTGTTTCTTCTATCATGCCCCCAGTCTCTGACCGTTTCTTGCATCATGTCAGCAGTCTCTGACCATCTCTTGTATGACGCCCACAGTTTCTAACCAGCTCTTACATCATGCATCCAGGCCAGGGGCGGACTGACAACTTAATGGGGCCCCAGGGCAATAGGGGATCATGGGGCCCCTGTGTCCTTGCCCAAACTCAAAAAAGCCTATGAAAAAGGTACCCAGGGCATCTCATGGGGCCCCCAACTGACCCCGGGCCCTCGGGCAGTGCCCGAGTTTCCAAATGGTCAGTCCGCCCCTGATCCAGGCTCTGACCACTTCTCGTATCATGACAACAGTCTCTGACCATCACTTCAGTCATGTATACAATCTCTGACCAACTCCATATTATTTCAACAGTCCCTGACCATCTCTGCCCAAAGGTCTTTGATTTTATCCTGTTGTGTGTCTGCTGTCTCTGAATGAATATTTATGGAATTTTCTGTGTGGCCCCTTGGTGATGTCAGAGGCCGCACTTGAGTCCTCCAAATCAGGAAAGTTGACCGCCACTGTTCTAGATGAATCAGCAGGAATTCTGGGTGCTTTCAGAGAGGGTCTCCATAGAAAGCACAGTGAAATATATGCTTGAATTCTCTTAAAATCCAACGGAAGACAAACAGATGTGGCATGCATCCTGAGAAAGATTATGTCTTCTGTATTCTATGCTTTTTATTGTTTGTATGCAATCCACTTCCATATGGAACAAACTGGTTTCTCAGAATGTGGGTGGCCTGTCTGCTCTCAAATCTTGTGCAAGGTTAGATTTTATTGTGTTTATACTATACAGAGATACCTTTTTCTTTAAAGCTGAACTCCAGCCTTACTGCTGTTCTTTCATGGTTGTATAGGCTTCTCTCCTGTAGTATTTGCATGCTCTGATTTAACTGCACACTGTGAGCTTTACACAGTGTACATTAAAGCTGTAGCAATTCAGACAAAGCCCGCCTCAGTTCTTGGCTTGGAACATCCTCCCGAGCCTTACTGATCCACCTCATTCATTGGTTTCAGTACTTTCAATTACGAAGGCTCAGCATTAAACTTGGGCATTACTCAGGGCAGTCTGCATGCAAATACAACTTGCATAGAAACGGCCACTTCTCCAGACTAACATCCACCCATCAAGGCATTTTGACATTTGCAGAACTCACCCAAACGATGGCTCACTGCTTGCATCAGGGCTCTTGAAAGGAATACTGAGGCAGGGTGCTGTGATGAAGCTATGTACAGCACCCTGCCAGCCCCTCCCACCATTCATGATCTGTGTATATTGCATAGAGAAGCACAGGGGCCCATTGACGATGTCACTGGGTGGAAAATAAGCTATTTAAAATGGAAAGGTTTATATAAAAAGTTTCATTATCATGTTGATGAGGGGGGAAAGGAGCAAACACACAAGGCAAAATATGTGTTCTGCGTCATGTCAGTATAATTTTTCTGTGTTTTATTGAACTGCATCAGGTAATATTTGCTTTTTAGTCTGCTGACATCTCTCTCGAGGGTACCCCTCGTGCTTGGCGCTAGTTATTCCAGTCTTAGCTAGACCCTCCTCATTTCTTCCATGTTCCCTAAGCCAGTGTTAGTTATTCGTCAAGACAGGGCTTAGGAGGGCTGTTGTCTTCTTACACTTCAGAAAAGGGAGAAACATCCCCTGTACTGCATTTAGCTGAAGTAAAATTACGTTGGATTCAACTTCTGGCAGTTAAGCTGCCTGTGGATGGTGCCGAGTCAGCAGGTGACCATACTGTCTAGATCAGTGTTTCTCAACCTTTTTTTAGTCAAGGCACCCTTTAATATCATGGACAGTCCCGAGGCACCCTTTAAAATTATGGACTGTCCCGAGGCACCCTTTAATATCATGGACAGTCCCGAAGCACCCTTTAATATCATGGACAGTCCCGAGGCACCCTTTAATATCATGGACAGTCCCGAGGCACCCTTTAAAATTATGGACTGTCCCGAGGCACCCTTTAATATCATGGACAGTCGCGAAGCACCCTTTAATATCATGGACAGTCCTGAGGCACCCATTAAAAATATGGACAGTCCTGAGGCACCCAATCATTTCTTTGCAGTTGGTGCTCATATAAAATCATAGTTGCACCTTCTTGGAAGCAGATAATCCGGCTAAATATTGGACCAAGAAGATGCGTTTATAGACACTATTCCGAGCACAGTGCCATAAAGGATTCTCAGCAACATGACTAAAGCTGGCCATACACTAAAAGATTTCTGAATGAACATTTGTACAGAAATTAAGATCAGTATATATGTACAGTGAAGGAAATGCGTATTTGCTCCCCTGCTGATTTTGAATGTTTGCCCCTCACAAAGAAATGATCGGTCTAAAAATCGAATGTTCAGTGTATTGTAACACTGAGAGACAGAATAGCAACAAAAAAATTCACAAGAAATGCATGTCTAACAAATGATGACTGATCTGTATGTTCATGAGGGAAATAGGTATTTGATCCCCTATCATTCAGCAGGATTTCTGGCTACCAGGTGTCTTTCATACAGGTAACAAGCTGAGATTAGAAGCAGTCTCTTAAAGGGAGTGCTGCTAATCACATTTTGTTACCTGTAAAAAAAGACACCTGTCCACAGGAGCAATCAAACCATCAGATTTAAAACTCTCCACCATGGCAAAGACCAAAGGGCTGTCCAAGGATGTCAGAGACAAGCTTGTAGACCTACACACGGCAGTGTACCGTCAAATCTTGGGTTAGAACCTTCTTCCCTCAGCCAGGGCATTGAAAATGGGTTGTGGATGGGTGTTCCAGCATGACAATGACCCAAAACACACGGCCAAGACAACAAAGGAGTGGCTGAAGAATAAGCACATTAAGGTCCTGGAGTGGCCTAGCCAGTCTCCAGACCTTCATCTGACTGAAAATCTGTGGAGGAGCTGAAAGTTCGAGTTGCCAAACGTCAGCCACCAAACCTTAATGACTTGGAGAGGATCTGCCAAGAGGAGTGGGCCAAAATCCCTCCTGAGATGTGTGCGAACAAATTATGCACTGATTTGCATGTTCATGAGGGAAATAAGGATTTGATCCCCTATCATTCAGCAGGATTTCTGGCTACCAGGTGTCTTTCATACAGGTAACAAGCTGAGAT